AGTTCTCAACCTGTGGGTTGTGAGCCCTTTGAAGTTCAATGACCTTTTCACAGTGGTAAACTAAGACCACCAGAAAACACATATTTACATTACTACTCAAACAGTAGCAAAATTAGTTATGAAGTAGCAATGAAAATAATTTTATGGTTAGGGAGGCCCCACAATATGAGGAACTGTACTAAAGATCTCAGCATTAGGAATGTTAGGAACCACTGGACTAGATGTAGCAGTGGATTACTGGGAGACAGACATCAAGAGACAAGCAAATAGCTTTATATTCCTATCATCACAGAGACAGCAGGTACCACGCCATGCCTTTCCCACTAACACAACTTTACTCTCTCACACTGTAAGCCAAAGCATATGTAAATAAATAAATAAATAAATAAATAAATAAATAAATAAATAAATAAATAAATAAATGAATGAATGAATGAATAAATAAATAAGTAAGTAAATGGATGAAGCCCTTCTTTAAGTTGTCTTTGTCACATATTCTGTCACTTCACTTTAAAAAAAACACCGAAGTAACAGCTACACATACAGTTTAGAAGAAACTGCCTACTCTGATTTCTCAGTGAAGAATTTTTCTCTTGGCCTAGAAATAGTAAATGGTGAATTTAATTTTACCACTTTAAGTATATGGGTGGTGTCTTGCATATGTGTATGTCTACATGCCACTTGTGTGCACGGTGCCCACAGAGGCCAGGAGGAGTCGGATACCCTAGAACTACTGCAGTTAGCTGCCACATAGGTGCTAGGAATCAAACCTGGGTCTACGGGAAGAGCCACCATTTCTCCAGTATCCTGCCTTTTTAAAAAAATTACTCAAAATTATATACATACAGAAGAAGCATAAACGCCAAAATATCAAGTGGTATTTGATGTACTAAGTGAAGATTGTATTTGTCTTCCAATATGTATCTTTCCTAAGAACTATTCAAATACTTTTCTTGTCCCCTGAGGTCAATCCCCAGGCACTTTGCCACAGGGGACAGAATCATCTATAGACTCCAGATGCTTTCCTAAGCGCTGTACTCTCTGTCCCTACTACAGCAAGAGTGCCGAGAGGTTGGTGGGTGGCAGCAATGATAGCACATTATTGCATCGGTTATACTGGTCAAGCCTTTAAGAACTTGTACTGTCCCTGCTGGCCATCCTGTCTTAGAAGACCAGCACTGTCATGTTCAAGGTCAGCTTGAGTTCCTCACCAAAAGCCTGTCAGAAGAGAAAACGGAAGAGAGTAGGCGAGAGAAGAGAGAATCAAGGAGGGCAGAACAGAAGGGAAGAAGAAATCTAAAGTGAAGTGGACACTTTGGAACATGCACCATTTAGAACAATGTTTCATAGTTAGCCCCGCACTAGGCTTCAGCTTTTCTTACCCGTAAGTCACCATCACAACAGACTTCCAACATTTGTTCTCATTTTATATAAATATAACAAACTTGCTTTTTTCAAATGTGTATGAGTGTTTTGCCTGTATATATGCGTGAGCACACTTGCATGTCTTGTTTCATGGAGAGCAGAAGAAGACATCAAATCCCTTAGAACTACAGTTATAGAGTTTTGAGCCACCAGATAGGTACTGGGAATCAAATGCAGGTCCTCTCCAAGAATCGGTGCTCTTAAAACTAAGCAATCTCTCCAACACCACAAACTTGCTTTTCTTTAAAAAAAAAAAAAAAAAAAAGAAAAAGTTTTGATATCTTTAAAACTAGGTTACCAGTATATAAGAGCCATTCTTTAAGCCATTCTTCTTTGATTTCCATCAAAATGTATAGCTCATCTTTGTGCTCTGTTCTGTTTTGTTTTGAGACAAGGTTTTTCTATGTAGTTTTGGTTGTCCTGAAACTTGCTATGTACACCAGACTGGTTAATTCACAGATATCTACCTGCCTTTGCCTTCTGATTAAAGACATTCACTAGTATGCCTGGCTTTTAATGTGCATCTAAAACTAAAGTAGCTATAGCCAAAGCATCGCATGCCAATAATACATTTCCCGAACAATAAGCAAACGTCTTTTTAAAGTTCAATGATATTTTTTTCTTTTTAAAGAATGCATCTTCTGGGCTAAAGAGACGGCTCAGCAGTTAAGAGCACTGTCTGCTCTTCCGGTCCCAGCAACCACACGTTGCTTCACACCATCTATGCTGGGATTGATACCTTCTTCTAGCATGCATGTATACATGCAGATAGAGCACTAAATGAATACATCTTAAAAAAAGAAAGAACAAAAGAACGAAGGAAGAAAGGAAGGAAGGAAAACTGCTGCGTGCAAGGCAGAATCCAACGGGCTTGCTGTGAGACAACAGAAGTAGTTAATGGAAAAAGGAGGAGGAAGGAAGGAAGGAAGGAAGGAAGGGAGGCGAGCTTTACAAACTCGGTAGGCGGTCAAGGCTGAACTTTTACTTCTGATTCTCTTGCCTTCACAGCACCACCATGTTTAGTTTATTTGGTTCACTGGGGGTTGACCCAGGGCTGCATGCATACTAAACAGGCTCAATCAGCTGAGCTACACCCAGCCCTCCCCTAACACTTTTTAGAGAAAACCTATATATAAATGTATGTGTGTATGTATGTATACATGTGTGTATATATGTGAGTGTGTGTGTATATATATATAATGGATACAGAGCAGCACCAACAAATAACTGTAACTAAAGGAAAACGGAAACAAATCTAAAGAAACATTAAGACTACAATTGACTCTGATAATTTTTTATTATAGAATTATTTTTATTAATTACAGTTTATTCACTTTGTATCCCCCCTGTACCTCCCTCCCTCCTACTCTCCCAATCCCACCCTCCCTCTTCCACACCCGTGTCCCTCTCCCAGTCCACTGATAAGGGAGGTCCTCCTCCCCTCCCCTCTGATCCTAGTCTATCAGGTCTCATCAGGAGTGGCTGCACTGTCTTCCTCTGTGGCCTGGTAAGGCTGTTCCCCCCTCAGGGGGAGGTGATCAAAGAGCAGGTCAATCAGTTCACGTCAGAGACAGTCCCTGTCCCCACTACTATGGAGGCCACTCAGATACTGAATTGCCATAGGCTACCTCTGTGCAGGGGTTCCAGGGCATGTCTATGAGTCGTCCTTGGCTGGAGTCTGATAATTTTCTTAAGCATTATATTCATCCAGCGGCATGAGACAATTGTTAAGTATTTTATGGGCTCCACCTTATTCAAAGGGAAGAGCACTACAAACTATAATGGAGAGCCCTCTGCAGACAAGAGCTGCAATCTACTGCAAACTGTGACTGCTATAATCATCTGTCCTACTAAAGTTCTCATTAGTGAGGAAACAGTTCTTTAAATCTGTAATTACAGCTATCAACAGAATACAGTCCTGCACAGAACCTGGCATAGTGTATTTAAAATTGGACAAAGCTCAATTTACCAATGATGCTTTAAAAAAAAAGACAAAACAAAACAAGAATTGGTAACTTTAAATTGCTAACTTTAAACAGATATAACCTGACAGTTTTCCTACTCCTACACTGGCGCACTCTCTATTTCCACCTATCCTCTAGTTTAAGTACAAATGTCAAGGTTTAGAGCTTGCAGTATGATTGTTTCTTTGCCCGAATAGCATAAAGAACCCAACATAAAAATTAACAAGAAAAATATCCCTTTGATGGGACTCCTTTGAGCCCCCTTCTTGACTGGGCTTCCTCTCTGCCTATATAACTATAACAGGCATACCCCAATATAAAAATATTTAAAAACTAACAGCCTTCTATGTAAAAAGTTTGTACGTTGTTGTTATTTGTTTTTTGTTAACATGTTTTTTGTTGTTGTTATTTTTGGTTTTGGTTTTCTTTTGTTTTTTCGAGACAGCGTTTCCCTTGACTGTCCTGTAACTCATGCTATTGACCAGACTGGCCTGAACTCACAGAGATCCACCTGCTTCTGCCTCCCTGAGTGCTGGGATTAAGGGCATGAACCACCACTGCCTAGCAGAAAGCACATTTTTAAATTTTAATTGTCAGGTCTGTCTCCCAGGCTCTGGAGGAGGGCACAGCCCTACCTAGCTTTACTCACCGCCAGCTCACCCAGAGCTGACATACAAGCATACTTTTACTTTTGTTAGTTTGTAACTTTGTAGTCCACTTCATTCTGTGTCTCTGCAAAATCCCCGCTTTGTCCCAGTCCCCACACTCTTGAACTCTCCCTTTAAAGGTTCGGTTTATGTTATACCATGCTGTCTACTCCAACAGAGTATCACTAAATCTGTCCACAACACTCTACCTTAGTGTCCAGCTTTGCTTATCTTTGACAAATTAAATTAGAAAGGGAAACTACACATATTTCATCAGTAAAGTGAGTTATAGACGCTCACTGGCTATTAACTTCTTTTTAAGAAATTAAATTAGTGATTTTAAATTCAGGAAGGAGTCCTAATTCAAGGAGCCGATCAGTACACAGGGACAACGGTAAAGGCCCTGGACGAGCACCAAATCTCAATACTATGTTTACAAATGATGGATCTAAAGTCCAAAAAGATGAAGTGACTTACCCAAGATGATTCAAGAAGGAATCTGATTAGGAGGGGCTAACTCAGCATGACTCGCTTCCTGACTCCAACATGAAAATATTCTTCCTGTGGTATTCTCATTGGTAGAGGAACATTTACTATTAATCATTTAAATCAAGATCAGAGTTTAATGAACATGACCCTACTAAACCAGACACATTTTTAAAATTCCTCTGTAACCAAGAGCTGAGCAAATTGTATTTGATACAAGTACACATGAAATTTCATTTTACTCAGAGACAAGTTCAACAATCTTAAACAAATACATGAAGCACCCAGTGAAGAGAATCTGCTTTCACGCACAAAGAAAACAAAGCCCCATGCAAAATCCAAAGAAGGGCCAAATAATTTAGATAATCTTAAAATAACCATAAAGAAAAAAATAAAGTAAAATAAAATCGTTGGAGGAAAAAAAAAAAAAAAAAAAAAGAAAGAAACAGAAAACACCCAAACCCTTTTCTGCACTTACCAGCAAAGCATTTGGAACAGAGATTCATAGTCTTGCTGGACCTGGGGCAAAAAAAAAAAAAAAGAAAAGAAAAGAAAAGAAAGAAAGAAAGAAAAGAAAGAAAGAAGAGCTAAAAATTCTGTATCACTCTAATCAAAACAAAAAAATTAAATGCAGGCAAAGAATTTGCTGCCAGACAACTTATCTGATAAGCTAATAACAAGTCTGGCCAGCTATCTATCCCATCCCAACAAAACAAAAGCAAATAAAACTAAAGTAAAATGCATGGGTTTTTATTTTTTACCTTTGCATGAGCCAATGCTTTTTTTTTTTTTTTTTTATTTTCTTCAATTAGCAGCTAGGGTAGCAATAAGTTTAGGAGTCAATTTATGTCACAGGACTCGGCACAGTCCCTCTGTGAGGAGTAGAAATGCCTGCAAAGTGGTTTTATGCTCTCACCCATAACCACAGGGACCCGCTTTCCCCATCACTACAACTTTTATCTCCTCTTTTATCTTCTCATTCTAGTTGTATTTCAGATCTGGTCACAGCATGACCTTGTTGTTTAAAATTCTCCCTTCAGCTGCTCCCAATCAAATTATTTCTTCATGTCCTTTCATCTGTTAATAATAGCTATAACTCACTGAATAGTAACTTGGATGGACAATTTAACACACATTATCTTACTAATCATTCCAGACTCCCTAAGATGGATATTACCATATTGCTTGCTTCACTATTTTAAAAAATTCACATTCATGTCTGTAAAACCAGGAAACAGTCTACAACTGGCTACAAATACTGAATATTAAGGAAAGGTATTCTTAAACTGAGGTCTTACATAGCCTAGCATCCGCTCTCATCCCCATCTGACCTTCGAACAGCTTTCCCAATATACACACAGAGATAACTGTAGATGACTACATCTCTGACCTGTCTGAGCAAACTAAGGCCATCCTGTCCTTGTTTTCACAACACAGCACCTGGCAGCACACAGCCAGGCAAGGACTACAAAGACCAACTCATCTGAGAGATACAACTCCCTGCAGCTCACCTGACCCACCACGTTCCACACAAACTCATTCTTAAGAGCTCCTTCCAAAGACCTCTGAGAACACTCTAAATTACAGAGTTGCCTTTATTCCTAGGCAACTAACTTTCTCCCCCCAAATCGAAGCCTTTGGCCAGAGCAACCCCAACAAATAGGATAAACCAATATTCTTCAGTCCTTTTTCCTGTTTTATAACTTAAGCCTCAGTCAGATCTGGGCGTGGTGATGCATACCACTTGGGAAGGAGGAGGTTGAGGCAGGAACATCACAAGTTTGATGACAGTCTGGGCTATATAGCAAGACTTTGTCTCACAATGTCAACAACCACTACTTAAAAGCAGGAAAAAGGGGGAGCCTCCCACAGGAAGCATTTCTTAATATCTATGCCAAAGATTACACAACAGGAAACAAATGATCCTCATCTAACTCCACAGTCTTTTCACCCCGAGGAACAAGGGCTTCTTTCCACAAAAGCTGAAGGATACACAACAATACCAGCCCAGCAAACACATCAGCAGTTTCCAATGAATGATGTCACAACTACAGACCTGGTCTATGGAGGTCAAGTCTGCGCTCTTATAAAGCACAACAAACTCTGGCCTCCACCTATACAAGACAAAACTATCACTCGTTCATTCCTGGTAACTGAGACTAAGGCATTCTACTGTTAACCTTAACTTCTCACAAAAAAGCAGGTCCCTACCTGGTGTTTGTTATCCCTTCTTCAGGCAGAATCCACTGAGCCAGCTGCCCAAGGTCTATGAGGACCCATGGAAAGCCTGCAGAGCATTGGCAGCAACACAGCTCCGTGGACACCAGTTTTAAAATCTTGTTACACAAAACTGATAGGGAAAAAACTGGAGGGAGAGGCTACCCTCAGTTTCCTTGATCCCTCTTCAGATAGTATATTCAAAGCGGCAAATCAGAGCTCTCGCTATGCCCCAGGGTTGGCTGGCCCCTCTTAGCCATCTTTATAAATAGCAACACTTCTCACTTGCTCCAATCAAAACCTCAGGTGGTAGGTAACACCCCTTTCCTGCTGTTTTCTGGATGGCATTCAGCAAGACCCACCAGCTCCGCCTGCAACTGTACTTGCTTTAAACCTCTGTCCCCAACACCTCCGGCCACCACTAACTCTTGCCACTGTAAATGACTTTTCATTGTCTTCTGCCTCCTTACAATGATTTTCCACCAGCAGCTGGGGCAATCTTCCCTCATCGCCCCCCCCCCCTTTAGTTTTTGTGTAACCTTGGCTGTCCTGGACTTGATTTGTAAACCAGGCTGGCCTCAAACTCAAAGATCCTCCCGCCTCTGCTCTCCAAGTACTGTGATTACAGGTGAGCACCACTGCACCCAGTTTTGTTTTGTTTTGGTTTTGTTGTTGTTTTTCTCTTTTTTTGGAGACAGGGTAGCAAAATGTCCAGGCTGACCCAAATTTGATACGTAACTGCGGGTGACCTTAAAGTCCTGATCACCCTACATCTAACTTCCCAACTCCTTTGATTACAGGCTTCATGTTCCCTCCCTGGCTGGCTGATCATCTTTTAGCACTAGGAAATGCCATAAAGGCAACAATCCTCTTGGTCATTTTCACTTTTTTTTTTCATGTGAATATGTATGAGAACACCCATGTGTCATAGCATTGAGTGTGGAGGTCAGACAACAATTTACAGAAGTTCTCTCCTTCCACCAAGTAAATTCTGGGTAAGTCAGGATTGGCAGCAAGTACCTTTTCATCAGTTAAGCCATCTTCCTGGCTCTCATTAGACATTTAACAGGCACTTAAAAGTTAAAAGTAATATTAAGAGATGAACCATGAAAAACCTAAGTAGAATTTTTAAATGTATGTATTTTGTAGCCCGGCATGGTGGCATACACCCTTAATTCCAGAGCTCAGGGAGGCAGAGGCAGGCAGATGCTGTGATTGTAAGACAAGCCTATTCTACAAGCAAGACAGCCCAGGCTACACAGCAACCCTTGTCTCCAAAAACCCAAGTGCTGGGATTAAAGGCATGAACCACCATGGCTGGCTCATTGCTACTGTTTTGATAAAATTATGTTTGATGTTTGTCACTGGTTTTACAACTACATAGTTCCTTGTTCAAATCTAGGGAAGGGCAAACATGTAAGAAAAACTAAAGAAAGTGTATAATTCTACCTCAAATGTCATTTTACTAAATGACAACATGCGTGGTTCTTGTTTTTATGGGCAGACAGGTGTAACTCAGAATTTACCTCATTTAACAGTAAGTCATGTGGTATGCTCACACTACAGGGCTACCTTTCAAATACAAGTATTTCATAAAGAAATCTATCAAAATTTGTTATTATTTTACATGTGTACATGGGAGAAGGGGGTTCGTGCATGTGCGTGTGTGTGTTTACATGCGCATGCAGGTGCACTGTGTGTTCATATGCACACGTGGGCGCATACAGACGCCAGAGGCTGACGGTGTCTATCTTCCTCAATCATTTTCCCTTTATTTTCCTGAGGTAGCTCTCTCACTGAACCTGGTGCTGATGATTAAGTTGGTTCAGCTAGTCCTGCCCTGGGGATTTCCTTATCTCTGGCTCCTAAGAGCTACAATTTTAGGCAAACTGCCCAGCATTTATATGGTTTCTGGGGACCGAAACTGCAGTCTACAAGCTTGCGTGGCCAGCACTTTATCCACTAAGCCATCTCCCCAACCCAAGGTGACTGGTGTAAGAGAACTTTTCCAGTGCTTATGCTGTGGAAGCATGAGGACCTGAGTTCCATCCATAGCATCCATATAAAAACAGGGGTGATAGCGCACATCTATAACTCCAGCACTGAGGCTGGAGGGGAAACAGACTCCAGGGCTCTAACTAAACCAATAAATTCCAAGTTCACAGAGACCCTGTCTCAAAAGATAAGATAGAAGGGATGAAGAATTGCTGCTCTCACAGAGGACGTGAGTTCAGTTCCCAGCACCCAGTTCCAATACCCTCTCTGACCACAGGCACCAAAGACATAGAAGGTACAAAACATACAAGGAGGCAAAACATTCATGTTTTAAAATCTTTTAAAAAGGTGGAGAACGGTGGTCAAAGACATCCCTGAGCCTCTACACACTCATACAGAGACAGAACCCAAACAGAAACAACCCAGCAGCTCTGGTCTAGCGGATTGAAGGGGTAGATACAGAAATGTACACTCAACCAAGCTGACTAGGTGCACTGGAACCAAAGAACACTGTTTCTAGAGACAATTCTGTAGCGTTTGGTGGTCATTTAACAGTGAAGAAAACTTTTATTGGTGGTATTAAAAGTCAGAGAAAGAAATTTAAAGATTACTGTCTCTCGCACCCAAGATGCACATACATGCCAATGTCAAGCCTTCCAAAAAGTTAGTATAAATATAGTAATAAGTAATCCCATCTCCCATGCATTTTCCTCAGCAGCTGTTCTTCCTCAGGTTCACCAGTAAAGGTCAAACCTGGGACACTAGAAAAACTGAAGAGAAAAACATACCAAGCTCTTCCAGTACTCTGGTACTAACTCTTACAGACTAGAAATGGGTCTAAAAACCAGAAATATCTTGATTCTACAAAGAGACTTATTTCTGGTTTTGTTTTTGTTTGATCTGGCTCAGTTTGGTTTTGGTCCTTGAGACAAAATTTACTCTGTAGTCCAAGCTGGCTTCAAATTTGTGGCACTCCTCCTGCCTCAGCCTCAGAAGTGTTGTCATGAACCAACAGAACTAATGGGATTTCTTTGCTATGGGTCAGGCTCTACTCTTCAATGCTGACTAATCACAGCCCCTAATTCAATCTCCCTTAACAACCAGAAGATGAATAAGAGGCCAAGAGCAAGAGGACAGAAAGGAGAAGGAACAAGAGAAGGTGCAGTGGAATGGGTCCACTCTAAAAATAACCAATTACCTCAGATGTGACAGTAGATAGGTAACTAAAGACTAGCTACAATCTGCCTGCCACCTAAACAGTACACTTACTGACAGGCTAAATTTCTACAACAGGAATCAGTGAAAAG